TCGCATTAGCATGTCCACCAAAGTTCGTTTCTGAAAGAAACTTCCATGCACTCTGATGACGCACAGATTGGCAGTGCACATTAGACGATCCAGTTCTTAAATATATACAGGGTATAGTTACTATAGTCGATGCAGTGGCCGCGCTGAGGCCATGACCTGCCGGTCAGCAATTCGGGTAGCCCAGGGCGTGGTTCGGGACGTTGGCGCTTCAGCCAGCAAGAGTTCGGGGCTAGCTGACTTGGCTAGATGCACCGAAACGAACAGTGAAAGGGACATGAATGTTTTGACCAGGCGCTACAAGCTGTGCCTCCCTGTTGAAATGTCAGTTATCAACAAGACGCCTGGTGTCCGCTACACGGGCGAATTCAACATGTTGAAGCTGACTGCCTGGATTCGCTTTCATCTCGAATACAACACGTGGCACCTGCTGGTCGGGTTACGCACCCCCAATCCTAAGAGAGAGAGGAACATCCTTTCTGAATGGTGGAAACGATATCGGCTCTTGCGACCTGAGCATGAAGTTTTCCGCATCATTGACGAGCAGAACCTTGACACGTCGCGAATGGTTCCTGCGCTTTTTCATGGCGACGAAGGTCGCGGCAAGAAGCGAGCAGCATTCCTGGTTTGCGCCATTCACTCCTACTTGGGGTTCGGAACGCTCCTGTCGAACAAGACACAGAAGTCTCGGCCTTTCCTCCGCATGAGGCTGAACTACGCTGGCAACTCGCACATATCTCGCATGCTGGTGGCAGTGTTGCCCAAGATGTTGAAAGATGAGATCGCATTTCAAGATCTCATGGCGGCCATCACACAGGACTGCTTGGACATGTTGCTCAATGGCATTGTGAGTCCACATGATGGTCAAACATACAGGGTCGCTGTTTTGCAGGTTTGCGGAGATTGGATGTTTCTACAGAAGGCTGGCGGGTTGGCCCGAAGTTATGCCAATTGCCAGAAGAGGCCGTGGGCGGAAAACGCCATTCCACGTGGCATCTGCCACTTGTGCAAAGCAGGCCAGAGCAATGTTCCGTTTGAGGACCTGCTTGTAACTGCAAGATGGAGGAGCACCATGCATGATCCAACCGACAGCCCTTTCATTGGTCAGCCAGTGCTGCTTCGCCTGCCCCATGACCGGGCGCGGCCCGCAGGCCTTTTCGCCTTTGACCTATGGCACGCTTGGCATCTTGGCGTGGGCAAGACATTTTCTGCCTCGGTATTGTGTATGATCGCAATGCAGATGCCTGCAAGCAACGTTGAGGACAGGTTTAGCTTGTTGACCCGCAAGTACCTTGAATTTTGTGACTCTGCTCACGAGACACCGTACATCTTGCAGCTCACGCATATTGGTCTTGGCTGGCCAGACACCAAGACATACCCCAACGCCCAGTGGAGTAAGGGGCACATTACAACATTGATGATGAAGTTCCTGGAGGACTACTTCAACCGGCACCCTTGTGATGCATCCGTGGATCCGCTGTTTCCCAAGTGCCGTGAAGCGGTCATTGCTATGAATCGGTTCATGGAGCAGCTGTACTCCTCTGAGTTGTGGATTGCTTCCGATGTTGCTTTGCCCTTGGCCCGTTTGGGCGAAAAGTTCTTGTCTTTGTACATGGATTTGGCCTATGAAGCATTCCATGCAGGGCGCCATCACTTTGTCTTCATGCCAAAGGCTCACATTTTGAGCCATGTCATTGAAACCATGATGACGGACTGCCAGTCCGGTGCTCCCTACGTGCTCAACCCGTTGACGCACGCGGTGCAGGTTGACGAGGATTTTGTGGGGAAGGTGTCGAGGGTGTCACGCCGCGTTGGTGTTGGACAAGTGATCCAAAGGGCGTTGCAACGCACGTTGATGGCGTCCTGGAAGCACTACATTGCCAATGGATTCATCAGAGCTTCGTGATTGATGGAGGAAAAGTGTCCAACCGGGATGGCCACTTTGGGGGTGGGGTGTTGAAGAACAGGTGTGTTGAAGTGTTCAAAGAAGAAGAAGTAAGATTTATAATGTTCAAGAAATCCAAGAAATCCAAAAACCCGTCTTTTTTTGGAGAAGGTTGGGTTGTTGTCACTGGACCTGTTTTTTCAGCGGTCTTCGTTTCTGCTGGTAGCTTGAAAAGAACTCCCTTTGCATTTTGGGCAAGTGGTGTGTCTGCGTGCGCTCTTTGAAGTTTTTCGAAGATTGATGAAAGTTGATGTGGCCTCGGAGGTGAACGTTCGAGACGCCGGCTATGCAGCCCGGGGGAGACTGCATGATTATTGAGATCGTGGGTGTGTTCGTCCGTGTGTCCTGCCCGACCGAGACAGACCGAGACAGACAGACCGAGACAGACAGACCCAAACAGACCGAGACAGACAGACCGAAACAGATAGACCCAAACAGACCGACCGAGACAGACAGACCCAAACAGACCGACCGAGACAGATAGACCG